CCCGCCGAGACCCCGCCCCGGCCCCGCCCAGGAGTCTCCGCTGAGGCCGGGGACCCGCTGCCCTCGGCTGCGGCAAGGGCTGGGTCTCTGCCCGGCCTCCCCAGTCGAGCCGCCTGGGCTCCGACCTGCTCCGCGGGAGTGGGGACCCCGCCGCGCCGGGGTGTTCGGGGCTCGCCGCTGTCGTGTTACTTCATTATTACTAGCGACGGCGCTTTTATTCCATCCAGAGAGCTTTGGCCAACTGAGCGATTCCGCCCCTCCATCCCCGGGCCGAAGTCCCGGAGACCAAGGAGAATTCGAACCGAGGGGTCTGGAAGCCGGGGAGGGCGGGAGTGCCGGGCAGAGCACTCGGAGTGGCCGGTGCGTGGCCCCGGGCCATTAGGGGAACAAAATCTTCAGGGACTGGGAACCAGTTTTATCATCCTAACGCATCTTTTAGCTAGCAAAGGGCAGAGCGGGGAAAGAAAGAAAGAAGCCCACGAAACCATTTCCAGCGCCCTTTCAATGGACAACGCTTGCCTGAACGGCCCACCCAGGGCTCCTTTCTCCTGGTGGCCGTGTGAGCCCGTTCAGATGCAGAGAGGGGCCGAACGCGAATGAAGCCTGAAGTTGTGGGTGCACCGCCCAGTCCCAGGCCGTGCTAATCTACTGCAACCCCCTTCCCAACTGGTGATCAATCCTCCCTGGGTTTATTCTCAAGCCAATGTATCATCCAGCCAGTTTTTTTTTTTTCCTATGAAATTTTCTCTTACCCCCCGCCCCCAAACCTGCCTCTTGTGCGTGACACACACTTATTGTTACAGGGTGGCAATCTCCTCCACCGTCCCCAGGATTTGTTTACATGATTGTCCCCCTATTAGACTGGGCTCTTTGAGGCAGGAGCTGTATTTCATGTTATTCCCGCTGCCTGGCACAGATGAGGTGCTCAACATCTGCTGAGTAACTGAATGAGGAATAAAGGAGCAATAATGAGAAAAAAGGAACACTTGGGTACCCGGCGAATGTCTGTTGTTCCTATAGTCGCTTCCCAGTCCAGCTCTGCTCCAAAGGAAAAATAGGCAGAGGTTGGGTTAGAGAAATCCCACTCTGGAACTGGACATAGAGAGGAGAGGGATGTCTAAATGGAGAAAAAAATTAAAGTGCTGTTTCAATCATATGGATAGAGAGTGAGATGAACCAGGTGGCCTAGGGGTTAATTTCCTGGTGTTAAAGTGTCAGCTCTGTCAACCCATCCCCAGCCACTGCAGCACGAGTTCAATCCCTGGCCAGAGCGTGACCCTCAGAGCACAGCAGCTCTTTCCTGTCTCCCTGCTGCTCCCCTCAGCAGTGTATCTCAGTGGATCCACCTGTTCTGCTCCCCACGCTGATGGGGCCCTTCCTGCACCTCTGGCCTACACCCCAGCTCTTATATAAAAATAAAAACAAATTTTTGAAAATTTTGAATTAGATGAACCAGTCCTCAAGGAAATCTGGCACCCTAGAAGGCTGAGTGAGGAGAAAGAGATCTGTTTTCATCATAACCATGGCCTCAGGCCCAGCCCCATAAACAGTAAGTTCTAGAAATGTCGATCGAGTCAGATCTTCTGTGAAGTGTACCGCAGACCACCAGGGTGCCCTCCTACCACCAAAAATAACACCTCGTGAGATTGCCACTGATGGCTGTCCCTGACTCACACACACAGGCCACCATTCTCCAGGGTGAACAATAGAGGTTAAGGCGGGTCTCTGAGAAAGCCACTGCTTAAATGCACATGGTTCTAAGGATGCCAGAAGAACAAAGAATCAGTTTTGATTTCTACCATTAGAACCTTAAGCTAACCAATTATCAGCTTAGGACGTATTTCAAGGGGAAGGAGGCATGGGACGTGCTATTGCGTCTGGAAGGGGCGAGTCCTCGGCTTCTGTGAAGGATGATGTACACATCAACATTCCTTTCACGCGATCTGCATAACAGACAAGCAAGCTGGAGTATTTCATAACAAAAGCTGCTGTTTACTGAGTTCTTATTATACGTTCAGGCTATGTGAATTATCTCCTTTGGTCTTTAATATCCCAGTAAGTTTCAAGACAAGAAAGCCAAGACATAGCTAGGACTTGTCCAAGGCCACACTGGTAAGCGGCAGACCGGACATGTCAATCAGGCCTGGGCCTTCCAAATGCCATTTTTCACACTCCTAAACTAGGGGAAGACTGCAGGGGGCTGGAGCACATCACCTTGGGGGCGCCAGAGAAACATTTCAAATACTTGGCAACTTTGCCTTCCAGAGACTCAGCTGTATAAGGCCTCAGGTGAACCAAGAATCCACCCCTCACTGCCCCTTGGCAGCTCATACCCCAGGGAACTCACACAGCCAGAAGTCACGAGACACTGAACTTTATTTGCTCTGACCAGCGGATAATCTGTCCACCCTGCTGGATAGCAGAGACAATGCCCTCTGCAAAAGGCCAGAAACACCTGGAGCAAACACTGTGGCCAGGCCTCAAGAGCAGCAGGCCTGGACGGGTGTGCTGTGGCCACAGCTAACTGTCCCATCTGCTCCCCTCTCCTCTCCTCCCAGCCCTGGTTCCTCACACGGCTGCCAAAGCTACACTCCAGAGACCAATAACTGACGCTGGCGCCCAGGGTCTGGATTACAAAGAAGTAGAAGCTACCAGGTGGATGCATCCCATTCTCTTACTGGCTGAGACCGAAACAGGCCTGGTGAGAGTCTGATCCAGAGATGGAAATCAACTCGGGGATTTCCAGAAAACATCAGGCACAGACGGAGCCGAGAGCCAGGGTAGCCCTGCAAGGTGCGGGGGGGGGCGGAGGGGGGGTGCCCCAGAAACCTTTCCTAGGAGCCTTGACACTGCAGGACAGTGCTGAGTGATTAAGGCCCTGCTCCCCAGAGACCTCCTGTCTCTAGCTGGGCTCCTTAACGCAGACCCCACTAGTCCCCCCACTAGTTCTTACCCCATGGACTGCTGTGTCGCAAAGCAGATAAGGTGCCCCGACCACCACCACCACCTCAAGAGCATAGCCCTCTCCGTTCACTCTAGTTTCTACAAGGAGGCCCCCAGGGCTGCAGGTTGGTGAGACCAGAGACAGATCACGCTCTGGGAGCCAGAGCCCGCTGCTATCCCAGCTCCGGCCACCAGGGGGCCCCGGGCTCCAGAGAATGGGGCGCCGCCCTGGCCACGCTCCCAGGGAAGCCCAGCAGGTCTGCAGAGGCCGGTTCTCAGCACCTGAGGGCTGCGAGCGGAGTCTCGGGTTTCAGGGGATGGCAGCTGCCCATCTAAAGGCTTCTCTGTTCCTTGGAATTGCACAGAATGTCTCTTGTGGCTTTTCCTCCTCCCTCCTTTTTTCCTGTTGACTCTCCCCATCCGGCTCTCTGAATCACCAGAGCCACAGGAAAGCAGCAGATGTTGACTTTACTTCTTTCAAGCCAACATCAGCTCCCTCCTGTGGAGCTGGGAGCAGGCAGGAGGTGGGAGACAGAGCCTGGATAGAAGAAGGTAACCCTCATCTCCTCATCTCGTCCTCAGGGACCTAGGCAAAAAGATCTTGATTTCTGGAGCTCGGGAAAGGGCCCCGTGGGACCGAGGAGGGACGGGCAGGGTGGGGATGCTCCTGGTTTGGGGGCCCACCCTTCTTGTCTGAGGTAAGGCCTGGCTCCAGCCAGCAGCATCCTCCAGATGCAAAGACTGCAGGTCTGGGGAGACAGTCCAGGACTGTTTCTTGCTCCATCCGAACCCCCAAACCTCCATTCTTGTGCGCGTCATTTGGAAAGGTTGCCAGGGAAGACTTTCGGCGCTTTATTCTACATTCATTGCTCCGACTTCTCTTCTCTTTTTTCTTCCTTGGGGATTTTTTTACGGGCAAAGAAGCCAAGCTGTAAAGAAAGAGATAAGAGCCATCACCATGTGCCAGTGTGAGGCCCTTGCCAGCAGCCCTCCATGAATCCAAAGTCTTCACCTTTGTTCTGCCTCCAAAACTGAGATTCACATTTATTTCACTTGGCTTAATTTCACTCAGACAGCGTTTGTGGAGTACAGCGAAGATCTGGCATAACACCACAGCCCGCTTGGCTGCCAGGGCAAACCCTGCTCCCCCTGCCATGCTGAGGAGTCCCCAGTTCGAGGCTCTCTGTCCATCCCCCTCCCCCGACACAGCACTTACCCTCCAAAGGCAGAAGATGAGGAAGGCAAGCAGCAGCAGCCCACCCAGGACACTGCCCAGGAGTACCCACAGCGAGATGAGCACAGGGCGGGCCTGCGTCACCTCCAGCAGGCTCTGTTGGGGAAGAGGAGCGGGGTTCACTTTCTCCCTAACCCACCTGGCCTCACCCCACATCACAGTGCAGTCAGCCTGAACACAGCAGCATTAAAGGAGAGAAACTGAGGCCGGGGGACCCCAGCCTCCAGTCAGCACTGGACAATCACCGGGTGCTGCTGGAAGAAGCCGCCACGAGGAGCCACAACCCCCAAACCCAGCCCTACCTCACTCTGACGAGAGGCTTCAGCCAACCGCAGGACACTGCCCTCCTCCGTCCCAAGTTCGAAGGAGCTGACCACTGTCAGAGACTTGAATTTGGCCTGCAGAGCAAGGGAAGGTATTTAAGCACACTGTCACCAAGGGGTGTGGCCCTGGGCACCCCAGTAACAAAGAGGCGGCTCAGAGGCACAACATCCGTGACCCAAAGACCAAAGAGAGGTTGGGAACCAGCGGGGCCAGAGAGGAAGGGACTCGAAGGAGTCTCTCCGTGGGTGCGCCGTTTGCTCTGGCCGAATGCACTGCCCGCCTTTGCCTTCCGGTGACCCTTTGGTTCAAAGTTCAGGTGTCATCTTCTCTGCGGAGAGGGACGTGTTTCCTGCTACCTCCACTGCCCTGGGTCACTTACAGCACTGTCTGCCCTCTCGCGCCCTGAGCTAGACAGTCCTTAAGGTCAAGGCCTGTGCTGCTGTGTCTGTCCTTTGTGCCCAGGGCTCCGGGCCAAGCACAGCCTCAGGTCCACGGTGGCTTCTCGAAGAATCTTTGTTGAGGGCCCCCCCTGGTGGTCCAGGTGTTAAAGTCTCAGCACTGTCAAGCTCTTAGCAGCACGAGTCTGATCCCCGGCCAGGGAGGGACCCCCAGGGTGCAGCAGGCCCCTCCTGTCTCCCCGCTGCTCCCTCAGCAGTGGCTGTCAGTGGATCCGCCTGCTCTGCTCCCCACTCCGACTCTGGTGAGTCCTCTCACTTCTAGCACCTCTGGCCTGTACTCCAGTTCGTGTATGCATAAATAAATAAGTAAATATTTTTTGAAAGAATAAAGAAACGAATGAAGGACGCGGAAGACAGAACCAGACTTAGATTTAATGTCCCTGAGACATATGCCGACATCTGCCCAGGGATCTTGTTTCACTCAAAGCACACGGCATAAAGGACCATGTGACCCCCAGGACTGAGTCACTGGCCGGCAGATGCCACTTACTGAGGCACTCACACTGACCCGACTGCCCTCACAGCGGGTTCCGTTTCATCTCCCTCGTGTTAGAGAACATTCTTCTCAACTATACACTTTTTTTCAAAAATTGTTATTTCTGTGTAGAAGAACTGGGGTGTCGCCCAGAGGTGTGGGAGAGGCAGAGGGAGGAGTGGGGGGTGGAACTCAGCTGAGGAGGTGACAGTGCCGAGACTTAGCCCCTGGGCCACTGGGCAGGGCCCCACTTCCACTACTGTCCAGTACATCTAGGAAGCTGCCCACCACGGATGTTGTGCCTCTGAGCTTCTCGGAAGCTGCCCACACTCTTCTTGAAGGTGTACTTGCACCGACAGTAAAGCTCTTTTCTGACTCACACACACGGTAACACGTCTGTCTGTACGCTACTTTTTAACGCAATGTCAGCGGTGTGACGTCACGCCCTTGCGTTAGGCGTGGGGCTGCCGGGCCGCTGAGTGCTGGGATGTGCTCCTGTGTCTGCCCAGAACAGGGCGTCCGACGTGGTAGACACGCGCTAGGTCTTGGCTGATGGAGTAACTGATGATGGATCTCACACTACGGGGTGAAAAGTGAGGGGACTCGCTAGGACAATAGCCAGCTTTCGTGCCTACGTCACTGTTGTTCATGCTTTCCAGCCCCCATGAAGCAGGTGCTTGTCCTCTGTATTAGCGGGAGGAGAAGCTCTTTACAGAGCTGAAATATTTGCTGGAGGGCTGAACCCCGCCGGAGGGGCGGAGTGCCCGGGAGCAGGGACTGCCTGCCTCGCAGCCTGGGGAGGGCCAGGAGGGGCGCAGGACGGCAGCGGAAAAGGAAATGTTTACCCTCCGGAAAAACTCGTTATGGACCAGCCGCAGCAGTCCCACGGAGACCTCGGCGCCCTTCGCCAGCCGCCCGAGGGCGCACCGCACCACCTGGCACTGCGCGTTGCTCGCGTTCTACCAGCAGACAGAGCGGGTCAGGGCCGCCCTGGGGCGGGAGGGCCCCTCCGCCTGCCCCAGGCCCACTGGCGCCTCCACTCTGTCTCCTACCAGCCTGCTCGTGTGCTGGAGCTCCTCGGGGTGCACGGGGGGCCCTGGGGGCTCGGTCAGGTTCTGCACCACGCAGCTGGCCTAGAGGAGGACCCGACGTGAGGGTCCTCTGGATGGTGAGACCAGCCGCTGCGCTGAGCAGGCTGAGCGGGGTCTCCCCAGGTAGAAGCCAGGTGTGAAAGAAGGGCTGGGGGGGGGCACTGACCCAGATGAAGGGGGGTGGGGGAGAGGCTAGGGAGGGGGAGACGGCCACCTTCCCAGCACCCTTGAGGTGGGGGCTCCCCAGCTCCCCGGCCCGCACTCACATTGCTGCTGCTGCGGACCTGCGACAGTGACAGGAAGTAGCTGCCCCCGCGGGCGGCAGCCGGAAGCAGCGCGGAGAGGACCAGGCCGCTGACCGCGTAACAGCCGAGGTTCTGAACCTGGGCAGGGTTGCGAGGGGAAGAGGCGCGAGAGGGGAGGTCTGGCCGGCTGTGTGCCCTGACCCCGGGCCAAAGAAACCTGAGTCTCCTGGCCCTTCCCCAGGGCTCCGCCCGGCTGCCCCCTCCCCAGCGCCCGCCCCAGCCCAGCCTCTCACCCTCAGCGTGGTCTTGAATTCGGGACCAGGACCCACAGGGAGGGCCCCGTACGGGTGGACCTCATAGCGGTGCAGCGTGGACTCACTGCGAGGACACCGGCCGGGAAGCGCCGTCAGGGCCAGGGCACAGGCAAGGGCCGCACACAGGGAGGCGGGGTGCAGGGCCAGCGGGGGGGGAAAGGGGCGTCACGCAGACTTGGTACAGATGTTCCGGCCCCCCCACGGCCCCGCCCAGGACCCAGGAGGGCTGCACCCCTGTGAAGGTGCTTCAGGGGGAGCGCCAGCACGAGGGGGTGAGGGCAAGTGGTGGAGCAGCCCCCAAGGATTTGGGGGACACCAAGACACACAGAGGGAGAAGCCATGAGAGTGTAGGTCTGGGAGAAGGCCGGCTGAGCCGGTACCTGGAGAGCAGGAGGCGGGGCTCGTACTGCACCAGGGCTGAGGCCTGGGCTGTGTTGTCATCCAGGGTCGTGCTCCCCTCCAGGCTGTCGCTGTGGGGCGGCAGACACAGGCCGGCCCTCACACCCCCCTCTGGAGTAGTCTAAGCTCCCCCGCCCCCAGGAGCGCTGGGAGGCAGCGTCCGGTCTCACCTGGTGGCCGTCAGCCTCACGAGGACCCGGCCCAGGAGGGCAGAGCAGCTGAACTCGAACTCCAGCAGGAAGCTCACCTGGAGCCGGGCACAGACGGGCAGGTTTCCTGGACAGCCGGGGAGCAGGACCCCGGCCTCCGTCCCCCGCTGCCCCTGCGTTCCTCTCTGCCCTGGGCCCCCGCTCACCTTGGCTCCAGCCAGAAAGACGGGATGGCCCACGCTGCAGAGCCGGGCGTGAGGGGCAGGGGCCCCGCACTCCACCTTCACCGGGCTGTCGCTCTGGAAGCAGGGCACAGCTGCGGCCGGCCTGGCCCGCTCCAGGCCTACGCCGGCCCTTCTCCAGCGCCCCCCCGAGGCCCAGGCCAGGCCCTGCCCTCCCCCGCCCCTCCCCCAAGGCACCTGCGGAGAGAGACTGGCCAGGTGGAGGTTTCCCGAGAAGCTGAGGCTCAGGCTGGTGTTGTAGGCGTTTTCCTTCCTGTTCTCCAGAGTCGCTGACACCAGCACTTTCTGCCGACCCCCTCGGACCACAAACGGGGCCTTCCTGGGTGTGGTGGGTAAGGGACGGCCCAGCAGCTGAGGGGTGCCCAAGTCTCCCTCCGGTTATCCTCAGTAAGAAACGGCCCCGCTCCCTTCAGGTCCCCTCCGATGTGCCCGGGTCCCCCCGTTGGGCGAGTTTCCGCCGTCCCACCTGGAGCCCCTGATGTCCATGTTGGCTCGAAGCACCAGGTCCGTGACACACTCGTTGTCGGGGCCGCAGTCCTTTGAGAAGTGCACCTGGCGGAGAGAGGGGGGCTGAGGCTGCCTCGGAGGGAAGGACCAGCCCCGGGGTGGGGAGGGGGACGGGCGGGCGCCCAAATTTCACCACAAGGCGGGCTCCCCCTCCCTTCTCTGGGATTCAGTGAGGCGGCCAGTGTGGGGCCAGGGCGGGGCTTGGCGCCGCTGACCAGCTTGCGGATGGAGGTGGGCGAGCCCACGTCCAGCACAGGCCCCGGCTTCGTGGTGTTGTCCAAAGCAAAGGTCACAGTCAAGGCCACCGGCCGGAGGTAGTCCGAAGTGTCCTGAGGAAGCCAGAGTGGACAGTCGCGGGAAGCCGGGGTCGGGCTGCAGCCCAGGCCCCAGCAGACGCGAGGGCCGCGGTGATCCATGACCAGGCACCTCTGGGGGCTGGGCTGCTCACCACCACCCTAAGCGTAGGAGTGTTGCGTCCTTCCTTTGCAAGGGAAGAAGCCGAGGTCCACAGGGGATGCGTCGCCAGCCACCCCGTCCCGGCGAATGCGGAGCGGGGGTCAGCCCCACCCCACGGTGAGCCTGCTGGCCTTCCGCTGCCCGCCCCGCCACAGGAGCCTCACAGCCCAGTCCTCAGAGCGGCGCCCGCCTCTCCCTTACCACCACATGGAAGAGCAGCCGCTCACAGGTCACGTTCCCCACGCTGAGCCGGAGCCTCCTGGGAGACAGCCTCTGGCCAGAGCCGTCGAAGGCCGCCCGAGCCCCGGCCGTCCACTCATCCAGGGAGGCCGCGAACCGCACGTCTGAGGAGGCGAGAGAGTGAGCGTGGAGCGGGGCCTCGGGCCGCAGCAAGGGTGAGAGCCAGGCGTCCTGGGCACTCACAGAATCGGCGGTCCCAGCGGCCAGGCGTGCGCGAGGTGGCTTGGAAGCAGAGGGCTGCAGAGAGGCAGGCCGCCTCCTGGGCTCGACGCCTGCAGTCCCTCTGCACCACGCTGATGGCCGCTGGGGTCACGGTCAGGGACGGGAGCAGGCTGACGATGGGCCGGGAGCTGGGAACAGGGAGGGAGAGGCGTTCTGCCGTGGGTGTGTGCGCGGAGGGAGGAAGGCAGTGGGCGAGCCCAGCCTCCTCCGACAGAGGGCAGGTGCATGTCGGGGGGCGCCCGCCCCAACCTCTGCCAGGAGCGAGAGGAGGACAGTAACTAAGGTTGAAGGCGCCCCGCCTGGTAGGCGGCAGATCACGGGCAGCCGCTAGGACCTGAGAGCGGCGTGAGCCAGCTCAGACAGCCACGTCTGGGTCTCAGGCTGCACCCCGCTTCACAGCTGCGCTGCGCTGCCTGCTGTCCCAAGAGCCGGGGCCCTCACTGGCTCACCTGAGCAGGACAGCGGCCCCCTGGGCGCCCACGGCCACATCCACCAGCTCGTCCCCGTCCAGATCTAGCCGGCCGTCCACACTGCGGCCAAAGTAGCTGAGGGCCTGAGGCATGGAGGCCGCAGCTATCCGCTGAGAGGAAGAGGGAGACTGAGCAGAGACCCACGCTCCAGCTTGATTCTCCCATCGAGACAGGGGAGGAGGGGCCCCCTGTGGTGCAGGGTTAAAGCCACTGTGGCCTGGGGTCCACCCTGGCCAGGGAGTGACCCACGGGGTGCAGCAGGCCTCTCCGGTCTCCCCGCTGCCCCCCTCAGCAGTGGGTTTCAGCCCGTCTGCCTATTCTGCCCCCCACCCTGGGAAGTCCTCTCACCCCCTCCAACTCTGGCCTGTACCCCAGCTCTTGCTAAAAAAATAAAAATAAAAATCACCTGCTCAGCCTGGGCCTCAAGCCCAGGGGGACACCGATAAGCAAAAACATATTCCCGTGCCCTCCCGCTGCGATGCCCTGGCGCCGGGCAGCCCTGACCTGGGCAGCACGGGGCCTGACTCCACTCTGGGTCCCGTGGTAGAGGTACAGCGCCCCACGGTGCCCATCCTCCAGGGGCGCCCCCACAGCCACGTCAGCAAAGCCGTCTTGGTTCAGGTCAGGAAGGGCGCCCATGGCGAAGCCAAATCGGGCGTCCTGCGCAGGCTCCGGCTGCAGCGTTCTCTGCAGTGCCAGCAAGGGCTGCTGTGGGGGCGGGGAGGCGGAGGTGCTGATACACGTGCACCCCTCCTGCCCCTCCGGGACCGCCGCAGCGCTCACCTGGCCCACTGCATACACATAGACGCGCCCCGTCTCCTTGCTCTGGGGGCCCAGGAACATGGGAGCAGCCACAAGCAAGACGTCGGTCGCTCCGTCCCCATCCACGTCCAGCGGGCAGAGCTCACTGCCAAAGTAGGAGCCAATCTGGCCAGGGGGGGCCAGGAGCAAGCGGGGTGAGCAGAGAGTGGCCATGCCCACCAACCTGCCCGCCGCGTCCTCACGCCCGACCGACTGGGTCGCCAAGACTCAGGCAGACTTTCCACCCGTCTCCTGTCCCTCCATTCTCGTACCCCACAGCCTGAAGCCCCCCACCCAAGGGCCAGACCCTCAATGCCCTACCTGCTCCCCCTGGAGGCTCTGGGCAACCCTCACGGAACCATCTTTCTGCAGCTGGAAGGCGATGACTTTCCCTCGGTGCCTAAAACGAGGCGCCCCCGAGAGAAAGAGGCGGCGTCCACCCCGCAAAAGCATAGAAGAAACAGAGTAACCTGGAAATGGGTCGAAATCAGGGTGAGAAAGAGAGAAGATGGGGTCTTTTGGGGCCCCCCAAAGTCACAGCAGGGCCAAGGACACTAGCAGAGCAGAAAGGGCCTGAGGGCCCTCCCCGGTGGCACAAACAGGTCAAGCAGCTCCGACATAGAGCCGCTGCAGCCGCTGCGGCCTGAGTTTGATCCCCAGGCAGGGACCCCCAGGGCGCGGCAGACCTCTCCTGTCTCCCCGCTGCTCCCCTTGGCAGTGGGTTTCGGTCCATCTGCCTGTTCTGCTCCCCACTCGGTCTCTGGTGAATCCTCTCACCCCCCACACCTCTGCTCCCCGTACCCCAGCTCTGTCTGCATCAATAAGTAAATCTTTTAAACAACAAAGCAGACATGGCCTGAGTCAAAAGTGTGGACCCCTCCCCGCACTGGGCTCCCCACCCGCTGATCCTCTGAGCCCTCTGCTACTCACCCAAGTAGGCTGCGTGATTCTGCAGTGCAGGGGGGAACTCATCTTCCAGAGCCGTCCGCGGGGGGAAAAGGCGGTGACCCTCTTCGAGCCATAACACGGAGCCTGCCCAGTCATAGGCCCCCACCATCCCAAAGAGAATCCCGTCCTGCAGGGCGGAAGCGGGCAGGGTCAGCGAAAGGACAGGAGCAGGAGCAAAACTGCAGGCCAGGGGGCCACTGGGGGCTTGCGGGGGGGGGGGGGGAAGGCCTGCACGGGCTGGCGTGGACAACGGCCAAAGGAGGAATCCAGAAGAGCCCCAGGCTGCCGCCGCCTCAGTCCGAGGTTACAAGGGGTCAGCGGTGGGAGGGGCCGTGGGGGTCAGAGTCTGTCCTACCTTTAACCGATGAGTGGAGAAGCCAATCTGAGACATCTCCAGTCCAAAGGAGCTTTCATTTTCTCCATGGGACCCTGGAGCCAAGGAAATATGGAAACAGAGTCGGGGTTGACCTACTGAACTCGCCCTGGACACTCCCATTTCTCAGGGTCGCCATTACCCTCGAGGCCGAAGATGCGGTCTCCCAGTGCGTCCACAATGTCCGTCAGAGCAGCCTCATCTGTGACGTTGAAGAAGAACTTCTCATCCGGGTCACTGGCGATGGTGCGAATTTCCCGCAGGAAAGAGCTCGGGTCCCGCTGGCGCCGGAGGTAGTGACCAAGGACCTAGAGGGAGGGCACGGGGGTTAGGGGCGTGGCGGTGTGGGGGGCAAGCTGCAGCTGGCTCAGCCAGCCGACCTGAAGGGGGGACACGGGGCCGACACCCGGGCTGGGGTCAGCTCCCCTCTCTCTGCAGGTCCCGGGCCAGTCCCACCCTCCGCCCTCCCGGGCCAGAGCCGGTCCTCACGGCAATCCCATAACGCGTCACTGTTCCAGCCTCACAGGCCTCGAGCGCGGCCGGGAGCTCCTCTCCGTCGTGAGATTCCCCGTCGGTGACAACCACCAGCAGCCTGGCAGCCCCGGGTCGGGCCCCTCGGGACGGACTAAACCCCTCTGTGCTGCGCGCGAGACAGGAGTTGCGTCAGGCGGGCACACGCCAGCAGGGCACTGAGACCAGGCCCCTGTCCCTGGCCTCCACCGCAGCCTGCGGCCTGGGACGCTACACTGCAGAGCTCAGGTGCCAAAGCCAGACCCTCGGGCACACGTCCCCAGCCCCCACTCCTAGGTTCCTTCGGCAAGCACTGCTCTGGGAGGGCAGAAATCAAGGGCAGGAGCCGAGCAGAATGCTCAGGCTAACGGGATCGATCTTTCCAGGGATGAGCTCTGAATCCCGTTTGGAGAGAGGAGGAGTCTGAGAGCCAAGAGCCAGGTAGCCGTGGAGGGGCAGCGCGTCCTTCTGGGGTGGACAGGGCAGGGCCCAGACACCTTGGGGAAAGGCGTGAGAGCGAGCACAGTGATGCCCCAGGCGCCCTCCCCACCGGCCATTAGGGCGCAAAAGCAGCGTGAGAGACACCCAGGAGTGCACAGTGTGCAAAGCCCCCCCTTCCCAGAACCCCCTCCCCTGCCTTCCCAGATGCCCCGGCCTTTCCAGACCCCCCCACTTTCCCAGATCCCCCTCCCCAGAACCGGGCCTTCCCAGCCCCCCTTCACCACCCCCGCCCCGCCCTGGCTCTAGCCTCACCAGGCCTCCAGGATGGCCTGCGCAGTCTTCGTCTCCCGGCCCTCCCGGCGGCTCAGGTTCCTGGCGGCCCTCACCACCTCCTCCTTGGTGCGCAAGTCCCCCAGGGACCACTCGTGCACCGGGCTCTCCCCATACTGCACCAGCCCCACCTGAGAAGAGGGTGCACCCTGTCCTCAGGGAGCGCGGGCTGGGGCTGCCGGGGTGGGGGGGCCTCTGGACACCCCGGGAGTCGCCCCCTGGCCACCTCCTCTGTCTCCCCCGCCGCCGCCGCCCACGGGCGCGCTCACCTGTATCTGCTCGGGGTCGATGAACAGTCTCCCCACCAGTCTGCGCAGGAAGGTCTGAACCTCGGACCAGGGGTAGATGCTGTTGGAGCCGTCCAAGACGATGACGACGTCCATGTACGTGGGGCAGCCTAGAAGCGGGGCGGGTGGGAGCGAGGGGCGAGGCCCGGGGGCAGCGCGGGCGGCCACCCGAGGGCGCCTTTCCCAGGCGAGGAAGGGGAGACCCCGCGAGGGTAGGGAGACCCCGCGAAGGCAGGCGGGAGCTAGAGGGGTGCGCCTGCGCGCTCTCTGAGACACAAGACCAAACTGCGCGGGGCGGGGCGGAGGGACAGGGCCCCGCTGTGCCGGCTGCCCAGGTGCGGCTCTGCTCGAGGGCGGCAGGCCCGAGCCACCCCGCAGGCCGAGCTCGGAGGGGAGCCCGCAGGAAGGGGCCGTGGGCAGGGGGCATCTCAACGCCAGGAGGCCCGGCGCGAAGGCAGGGGCGCACGGAGACCGGAAGGTGCCCACCAGGCCACGCTGGGCGTGGGCGGCTGGCGCCACCCAGGAGGCCGAGGCCTCGGCCCACGAGGAGCCTCGCCGGGAGGGGCGCCCGCCTGAGAGCCAGACCGCGCCCTCCAGGGCTCCGCTGGGAGAGCGGCGCCGTGGCTGGACGTGCGGGAGACCTGGGCCTCACCCCTGCGGCTCACCCCTGCGGCTCCTCTCCCCACCCGCACCCCACCCCTCGGCTCGAGGCTCACGTTGCGCCGTAGGTGCCAGGCTGCCCCGGGGCCGGAAGGAAGCATCTACGCGGGCACATATCCCAGAACTGAAGACAGAAGAACCGCAGGCGCGAGACCAGAGAGGGGCGCAGGCCTGCGGAGGGGAGGAGTTACCCCAGGCGGGGAGGGCCTCGGAGCAGCCCCTCCCCAGGAGCACCCCACTGCGGTGCTCCCCCTTCTTCCCAGGCTTTCGTTCCTCAGCCCCCTCCAGGTACCCTTTCCCCTTCCGGTCCTGCTCTTCTCTCTGCCTCAGCTCTCCGGACGCCCCACCACCCCCTCCCTTTAACTCACCATGAACCCCCCATCGCCGCCGCCTGCCTCCAGGAGAGACATCCCCAAGTGCATATTCACAGCTGGACGAGAAGAATTTCCCAGGGGATAGTCACCTGGTTGGAAGGGGGTAAAAGAGAACCATGGTGGGGTAACTGTGGGGTGCTTGAGTGTAGGTTGATTTTGGAAGGGGGTGAGGAGAGACCAGGATCATGTAGGGAAGGGGAGTGTGGGGGATATGGGGGTGACGACGGTGGGGTGTGAGGAGTCAAAGCTACTAGTCTAGCGAGGTTAGGAGACCGGGGTGAGGAGTAAGGCATCTTCTTACCCAAGTGGCCCTTGACACATGGGGTACTTTGTGAGCCCCCCACGGGGCAGCGATAGACATCCCCCCTTCGGTCGCCTGAAGGCCCATCCCATGGGGCGCCCACCAGCATCCTGGGAGGAGGGTGTGAATAGAAGCGTTGAATGGACATGACCCTTGAGAGCCGCCAGAAGGGAAGCGAGGGGAGGACGGATCCAGCTCCCCAACCCTCGCCAACCCCCAGGTTGGTTTAGATTCCGCTCTACCCTGCGCCCCTTTCTTGGGTCCAGCCCCTCCGTGGCCCTCTGGCGACCTCCTCACCATCGCTGTCCACCCTCGACATGTTGTAAGACACTGTATCCAAATTCGGCCTCACGTGGCCCTGGGAATAGGCGTGGGTGATGCACGTCCAGGTTAAAGGGGGAGCTGAGACCTGGGGACAGGAGCGTCAGGTTAACAGGAAGCAGCCAGAGAGGCTAAGGGGTGTCCAGAGGGCACCCCCAGAGGGAAACCAAGAGGAACAGTTTGATTTCAACCGTCTCCTGTCTTACTCTTGAGCGGCCCTGTCAGTGGCTCACAGTCGGAGCGCAGGGATGACCCCTTCCTGTGTCTGGGGCCAGAGGGCTAAGTGGTGGCGCTTTGCCACGCTGGCGCATAACTCAATTTCCATTTCCACCCTGAAATCTCATTTACAGACACGTCTGGAAGGCTCAGGTTCCTCGTTTCCACATCATTCCTCCTACACATGCTCGTCCCCAAGCTGTCAAGAGACAGAGAGGGCCCCCCCTGGCAGCCCCCAACAGCCATGCCTTCCAAATCCCTGCCCAGAGCAGGGGGGGCCAGAGGAGGTTAGAGGGCGCTGCCCGGCGGGGTCTCTCCTATAGCCCCTCTTGACTGTCATGGTTCCATGTCGCTCTCTGTCCAGTGTCTCGTCTCTGCTTGACTCCAGCCCTGGAAACCTCAGGGGTAATTAACTGGGTGGAGCCTCTCGCCTGCCCACACACATGGCTTGAAATCCGTCCTCACCGGGGTCCCACTGCCGCGTTTCTCACAGCCCACTTCCTTGGTGACTCACCGTCCCGGGGGTCCCGACCTACCTGCATGCCTTCCTCAACTCTCCGCCCACTCTCGAGACACCCCCACCCACGCTGATTCTTCGCTTCCAATGCCATCCTTTTAAAAGCAGAGCTGGTATTTTAGGAAACAAAGATTACAGGGCACCAAAGAAGAAAAACTCCAGGCCTCTGTCCCTCCGGTGGTTTTCTCCCTGACCGGGTCTTTTTTCCTTCCAGGCCAGCCCCGCCCCCACTGCCACCCATGGCCGTAACTCTGTCTTAAGTCGAGCTCACTTTCAGAAAGGCGGTTTGTATGTGAGGCTTCTGGCATCCCAGACACTGGCAGGGCTGTAGGATCAAGAGCTGTAGCTCGTTGCTTATTGGCTAGGTAACGCCAGACTTCTGACCACACAGTTGGGCAGTTACCCCTCAGGCCCGCCACTGCCAAGGGCAGGCAGAAGTCCGGAGAAGAGTGGGGGTCACCGTGGCCAGGTGGACGCCCACGTTGTTTCTTTTCTGCCGCCTCAGGCCTCACTCCTGAGCTCAGGACAAAGGTTTTAGATCATTGGACACAAATGTCACGCGAGGCCCCAGCGGCCGCGACATGAAGCAGTCACACGCAGGCACTGAGCACACACACGTTCCACCAGACTGTCCACAGGCAGCGTGAAACGTAGTCAGGGTTCACCTCTCACCGTAATTCCCAAAGAACCCCAGCCCGAAAAGTCCCAATAGCAAACAATTTAGATCTCCCCAGTCCCACCAGAAATGAGAGGTTAACGTCCCTCACCTGTCAGGAACACCAGGGGCAAGAACAGGTGAGGGGCAGCGAGGGAGAGCGCCATGCCTGTTGCTCTGTCCGTGAGAAGTCCTCCGCGCCTCTGTCCCTCTCCTTTTCTGTTTTCTTTACTTTCCCTCCCATCCTGCCCCCTCCCACTGGCAGCTAAAAATAAAGTTGGAAGGAATGGGAGGAGTGATGATGGGGAACTGTGGGGAGCCCCAGACCAAGCAAAGGACCACAGAGCAATCTGTGTCTGCTCAGTGCTGCCCCCTGGAGGCGTCTCTCCACGCAGCGCTCGACTTGTGTCTGTCCACTGTGGCCAGGGGACAAGGCCCTCGCCGCGTTTGGAAGAGGAAAGCAGTTGGAGATAGACCCTTGTTACTTCCATAACCTTTTATAGCTCAGCCTGGGGCATGGGGAGAGTTGCTAAGAGAAATATCACCGACTCACGGACCAAGGGGAGCCCCTACATGTAAAGACAGGCCCACTTCACGTAATTCTGTTTGTGATTTTTGTCTGGGCTTCCTGCAGCCTTGTAGTTTTTGGAGAGGCTATAAGCTATGAACTGGTATGTTCTGTACAGCTAGTACAGTTACGTTAACATTAGACACTACGGGGCCCTCCCTGGTGGCACAGGGGTTAGAGCGCAGCACTGTGAAACTGTCTGCAGCCGCTGCAGCACGAGTTCAATCCCCAGGCAGGGAGTGACCCACCGGGCGCAGCAGACCTCTCCTGTCTCCAGGCTGCTCCTCTCAGCAGTGGGTTTCAGCGGATCTGCCCGTGTTGCTCACCACTCTGTCTCTGGGGAGTCCTCTCAGCCCCGGCCCCTCTGACTTGTCCCCCAGTTCTTGGATGCGTAAATAAATAATCTTAAAACAAAATAGAACCTATCTCCTTAACGAGGCTGTAACTTCTGAAATTGGGGCCAAGGGCTTCTTGGCTTTCCGTGACTCCTGCACACGCCAGGTACTCAGCAGTGTGCAGGTGGTGACTGAGCCTGAACCACAGTGACAGCAGTGGGGCCTCGGACGGCTGAACACACAGGACCAGACGGGACAGCAGTGAGCAAACCCATCTTTAACCTGCTGTCCAGGAGGTCTCGGCCGGAACACACAGGACCAGACGGGACACCAGTGAGCAAACCGAACTTTAATCTGCTGGCCAGGAGGTCTTCGCTCCATTGTGGGCGTGTGCCGCAGCTATTTACACAAGATCACTGTACAGTATTTACAGCAAGATGCTAGGCACAGCATCGTTCTGGGTAGGCAAAGAACGGGTAGGAAAAGACTAGGGAACAGCGCCCTAAAATCAAAGTGTGGGCAGAAACCTTCAGGTATGACTGGAGGAAGGTTAAGGGCCAAGTCATGAGGAGGTGGGTGGGCGAGGTAGACACGAGGAGGGACAAGGGAGCATCAAACCGCCTCTGGTGTATGAGGGAAAAGTCCGCTGGACGTAACGTCTTTAAAATCTGATTCGGAGTTTGAAGGGGGTCGTATCTGCCACAAGTCATCTTTGAGAGGAAAAAGAAGGCATTTGGAAGCTACAGCTCACAGCTTCTCTCTCCCTTACCTAAAAGTAATTCTTCTGATTAAATTCCTAGGACAGAGAACTAGGAGGTAAAGAGATGCAGAAACAGAATCTTAAACAGACAGAGGAGAGACCATGTAAGAGTTGAGACACAGACAATGGGGTGAAGCGAGAGGAGGACAAATGCTCTGGCAGAGCTGAACACTAGACTTGACTTCACGACCCCTCCTCGCCTCCTCCACCCAGGCTTCTCCCTCTCCCTAACCTCTGACTGACTTTAAGCAAGGAGCAGAATGGGGGCGATGCGGCGGGACGGTCCAAGGCTCCACCCCGCCCACCGGGTCCCCTCCTTATCCTGTGCCAGGGTGTCAGGGCTTGAGCCTCAGCCAAGGGCAGATTAAAGTGAGAATAGACAGGATGGAGGACACGAGGCCACAGAGCCCCACGACCCCAGGACCACAGCGCCAGAGGCCTAGTTTGTCCAGGGGAATGAAGAGATCGCAGGCATTCCTGACCACGTCCAGCAGAAGCGGGGGGTGGCTTCGAAGGGCCCGAGCCAGGAGCAGGAGTCGGAGTCGAAGCCTCGGAGCCAGCTGAGGCAGGCCTCCTCCCGGAGCCCCTGCGCCCCCGGGCTCCCCAGTTTCGATTCCTGGGGCGCCCCCTCCAGCACTCTTCAGTCGCCTGCTACAAGCTGAAGACTCTTGTTCCATCAGCAGGCGAATCTCATAAGCATCACGGCTCAAATTCATGATGAGGGAAAACAGGTAGTACCTGGAGCAGGAGGGCAGAGGGTCAGCAAGGGCCCGGCACCCCGCCGCCGGCCGGCAGACTGTCCAAATATCCCTCCCCACGGTGCAAAGGACCACACTCAGAACGCCGGGAGGGAAGGCTATTTTACCCACGATCAGAAATGTCCTCCATCTCTCTACGATGTGATTATGTGGGCCTGAGGGTCCTGGTTTAAAATTCCTGAGCACCATGAGATCTTCCAAGATCAACCTCAAATGTCACTTTTCACGTGGCAGCCTACTGGCTTACACACGTTCACACTTGATCTGGAATAATGCAGGAACAAGCTGCAGTTGTTTCAGAGACCCAGACATGCCTAAGTCCGGTCCTTGACCAAATTAGGCAGAGAGATGCTAAGCAGCGAGGGAAGCATGATAGGGTACAGATCCCTTCAGACAGTCTACGGGGCTGACTTTCAATGTTCTCTGACAAGTTCTCTTCCCACCTGCAGTGACTTTAGCTGTCTGACCGCCAAACACGTCCTAAAGCCACCCACCTCTCTCCAGCAGTCTGTGCCACCATCTCTCCTGCCTAAACTGCTGCCTTAGCCGTCACCTGCCATCGCCACGGCCCCTGCCCCCACCCGCAAAGTCAAATAGTAGCTGCCGTAAACATTAACTCCTTCCCATCTCACTTGGAATAAGTCAGGTGACTCGGGCAGGTCTGCAGAACCCAGCGCTGGCGCTGCCCGAGTCCATCCCATCACTCTTCTCTCAGCTGCGGTGCTCCAGCCACACTGGTCTCTTTCTGTCCCTTTCTGACGCCACCTGTCCTTGCCTGAGGAGCGTTATAGCACCTGGTCCCTCTATCTGGAAGATGTTCCTTCCAAAATCTTCGCATGGTTGCTCTTTCCTGCTCTTTGGGGCTGAGCTTAAACATGACCTCCTCCCCGTCCTGAGTGGCAAGCCAGTTTCTTTCTAGCACATGGCCTTCTTTTAATGTCCTGCTTAGCGCTGACCATGGTCTGACATGTCTCTTACTTACTCTTCTTTATGTCTGTCTGCTCCCCCTACAATAAGAGCAGGGCGCTTGCTTGTTTCTTCTCACTGTGCCCCGGGTCTAGATCAGCGCCTACCCCACAGTAAGTGCTCAATAAATGTGTTGCATGAAATGGATGAACTTGGGCTATAATCTCTTCTGGGGGCTGCTTGTCCCTGGAACAGCACGGCTCATGCCATGCCTCGGCCGCTACCCCTCACAGACTACAAGCCGTTTCATAGCTGTAAATCACTGAGAAAGATGAAAAGAAAGGATATGAATAATAAAAGAACAAAGACAATCATGGGGAAACAAAAAAGTAGTACGGATGACATGTACATAGATAATTTTATTCCCAAAGCATATTTCTCTCCACCTTCATTACCAGCCCATTCCCTAGCTCAAGCAGACAGCATCTCTTGGCCACGTTAGGCCACCTCCTCCCTCGGTCACGTTAGGCCACCTCCTCCCTCGGCCATGTTAGGCCACCTCCTCTCTTGCCCTGCGCAGCCCACACTGCAGCAGAAATCTTCTTTAGACATAATTTGAATTGTCACCGCCCTGCTCAGGACCCACTGTGCTCAGGGTGAAACTTAACTAAAACTGAACAAAACACCTTTACCAGTGCTTAAAATGTCTGGCCCTTCAGTTTGAACTTACTGCCCATACTCAGTACTGTCCAGCACACTGGATTTCTGTTTCTCTGGTACATGAAGTCTTTCTTAATGAAAGGCTTTAGAACATGCTGCCTTCTGGTTGGAAAGGTCTTCTTTTGTTCAGACTTGCAGTAAGTGTTCTTCTTGGTCTTTCAATCTAAATTAACTTCTCTTGTTATAGATTTCATAATATTCTCTATGTTCTTGTCCAGCAGTATTTGGTTTGGTGGTTATCTACTTCTCTACTACATTAGAAGCTTCATGAGAGCAAAGAACATAGGTGTTTGATGTCTTGCTTTATTCCTAACCCACAAAAGCTCCTACTAAGTATTTTAGAGAAGGAATCAGCAGGCAGTTGGGGGCATAAACTTGTAGTATAGCCAAAAGCAGAATTAAGGCAATATACTATTTTATCTTGCCCAACCTTAATCGTTCATCACAGGGGAGCATCTGTTTTCCATCTGCCCACATTCATTATTTTCGGATAGCTAAGATCTAAATGAGGATTGGAAACTAAGGCGTCAGGCCCTCCTGGTAGCACAAGGGATTAAAGCACAGCACTGGGAAGCTGTCCGAAGCAAACCGCAGCAGGATCCCCCTCCAGGGAGTGACCCACAGGGCGCAGCAGACCTCTCCTGTCTCCCCACGGCTCCCCTCAGCAGTGGGATCCACATATTCTGGTCCCTACTCTGTCTCTAGTGAACCGTCTCACACTCCCACCCTGCAACTCTGGCCTGTACCCCAGTTCTTGTCTGCGTAAATAAATACAGCTTTAAAAAAGAAAGAAAGCAAAGGGATTGATTAAGATGTTTGTATTCTAGAGAGAACTTGAGAGATCCTTCTCTCAAAAAAGGCAAGTTGTGCAATATGGAGAAAAGAGGTTTTGGAGGATGAAAAGATAGCAAACCTGAATGAGCGCTGGGCCCACTTCTCCTGATCCACACGCGGCGCTAATCCAGACTTTCCAGCCCACAGAACATTGTCACAGGCGAAGTACAAGGCTCGATTGAGGTGACTCACAGTGATGCAGAACCTCAGGACAACATCTGAGAGGTGCACTGCCCGTTTGGCTGACTCAAGGGCATCTGCTGAATTACCCAGGCGTAGAACTGGTGGGATTAGCAAGGAAAAGAAAGGAATTGGAAGTAGAGTGGCAAACAGAGCAAAACACAGAGAAGGCAGGAGGGTAAAAGTCCAGCAAGTGGCAGAAACAACAGTACAATAAAAAAAAATTAAAAAGCAGAAACCATTTTTGTAAACTGCGAATTTAGTGTCGCCGTCCAATTTCCCTCAGTTTGCCCATACTGTCCAGTGCTTCAGGGCTCCCTTAGCCCTGTTCCCACATCTCTGCTGGGAGGCATGGAGGGGTGAAGGTGTAGGCGGGAGCGGGGGGATAAAGAAGGGAGAAGACAGGGCAGAGGTCAAAACAAGAAGGCAGGACCAAAGGGGGAAACCTGGGGGTGGAGAAAGTGGTGTGGCTTAGGACCCGCGAGGCCACTCACGCTTTCTGCCCAGGCTCAGGTGACCCTCCAGCTGCTGAATCTGTTTCTGCAAGGCGGGACTGGCCCCGTGTTTCTGCAGCGCGTGGCCAAGCAGGCAGCAAGCATACTGCGCAGCCCTGCAGGGCAGGAGAGAGTGGCCAGTAAGATGCCGTCCAGGGCTCCCACGCGGGTCCTCCAGGCGGCTCGCGTGGCCTTGCCCCGTCCCCATTTGAGATCATTTCCTGGCCTCCGCTTCGGGCCCACATCTCACCGTTTCTCCTGGAGGCCAGAGGGGGGAAAGGCTGAGGGGTAAAAGGGAGGTCAAGAGGTAGCGGGGAGTTCAGAGGTGAGAAAGTAAGATCTGACGTCGAAGAGGCCTGAAGGGGGCAGTGAAAGCCGCGAGGGGCCAACAGGGTCAGCACGAGGGCCAGCCCCACAGGTGAGGCGAGGTTTCCGGCCAAGGGAGCGGCCAGCGCAAGGCAGGGCGGGGGGGGGGGGCAGAGGGGTTCCGGGGAGGCGCAGGGTGAGGGGCACGGAAACTTGGGGGTCTCCCGGGTCTGGGCCGCTATCATTTCGCCACCGCCCAGTGAGGAAACTGTCGGCCTCGTGCGGACACGGCCGCCCTGCGCGGCCGCCCCGCCGGCCCACTCGTGCCTCAGTTTCCCCATCTTCCCCCGGAGCACAAACGACTCATCTCACGGCCGCTCCAGTCGGCGAGCGCCTGAAGGTCCGTCCGGGCCCCCGTAGCCCGAGCTGACCCTCTCTCACCCCCGTAGCGTGCAGACGCCCCGCCCGCG